ACGTCAACATCACCTTTCAGTTTTGGACCTTTCAGATTGAAGTCAATGTCTGGCATAGAAATCTTTGGACCAGAGATTGATGGCATCTTGAATTTGGGGCCCTTGATTTTTCCCTCAGGTCCTTCAATGTCAAACTCTGGAGATTTGATGTCCACATCTGGTGCCTTAACTTTAAAATCGGCTTTAGGGATTTTCACATCAACATCTGCACCCTCCACTTTTGGACCCTTCAGTCCGAATGATGGCATTTTCATTTTTGGCATCTTAAAACCACCCTCAGGTCCCTCAATGTCTGGGCCTTCAATTTCAACTTTTGGTGCTTTAATATCTCCTTCCAGTCTTTGAACGGACACGTCAACATCACCTTTTAGTTTTGGACCTTTCAGGTTGAAGTCAACATCTGGCATAGAAATCTTTGGACCAGAGATTGATGGCATCTTGAATTTGGGGCCCTTGATTTTTCCCTCATGTCCTTCAATGTCTAACTCTGTAGCTTTGATGTCCACATCTGGTGCGTTAACTTCAATATTGGCTTTAGGGCTTTTCACATCTACTTCTGGACTGTCTACTTTTGGACCCCTCAGTCCGAATGATGGCATTTTCATTTTTGGCATCTTAAAACCACCATCAGGTCTTTCTATGTCAGGGCATTCAATCTCAACTTTTGGTGCTTTAATACCTCCTTCCCCTTTTGGAACAGACACATCAACATCACCTTTCAGTTTTGGACCTTTCAGATTGAGGTCAACATCTGGCATAGAAATTCTGAATTTGGAGCTGTTGATTTTTCCCTCACGTCCCTCAATGTCAAGCTCTGGATTTTTGATGTCCACATCTGGAGCTTTAATTTCCATGTCAGCTTTGGAAAGATTTACGTCAACATTAGGGCCTTCCACTTTTGAAGCTTTGATTCCAAATGAAGGCATTTTGATTTTTGGTATTTTAAAACCACCATCAGCACCTTGAAGTTCTGGGCTTTCAATTTCATTCTTAGGTGCCTTGACATCTCCTTCCACTTTTTTTGGAGCAGACACATTGATGCCATCTTTCAGTGTTGACCCTTTTACATTTAAGTTCTCATCAGACACCGAAATCTTAGGACCAGAGATTGATAGTATTTTGATTTTGGGATCTTTTACTTTTCCTTCAGATCTCTCAATGTTAAGCTCTGGAGTCTTGATATCCACATCTTGTGCTTTAATCTCCATTTTGGCTTTCGCAAGATTTACATCAACATCAGGACCTTTCACTTCTGAAGTTTTTATTCCAAATGAGGGTATATTGACCTTTGGAACAGTTAAGTCACCTTTGACACCCTCAACATCTAGTCCTTTAATTTCAACTTTTGATGTTGTAACATTCCCATCAACATTTGGAACAGACACATTAACATCTCCTTTCGTTTTTTGTCCTTTCAGGTTCAAATCCACATTGGGCATAGAAATTATTTGACCAGTAATTGATGGCACATCAAATTTGATATCTTTGACTATACCCTTATGTCCTTCAATTTTAAGCTCTGGACCCCTGATGTCCATATCTGCTGGTGTGATTTTAACATCAGCTTTGGGGAGACTTACTACTGTATCAGGTTCCTGAGCTGAAATGTCCTGATTGCCAGTTATGCTCAAACCTCTCTGACTAACATCTTTAAGATTTTGATTGTTAAAATTCACTTCTACACTTGGACATTCCTTGGGTCTTTGAACATCTATGGTAACTTTAGACAATTTGGTTTTATCATCAGACCCATCCTTATGCACTTTAGACAAAGATTCCCTGCCAATACTGTCCCCTGTCTGTCCACTAATGGAAAAACCTGAAATACGAGTATCCAGAACAGGACCCTTTACTGTAGAAAACGCAGTTCCTCCCATCATACTTGAAGCTTTAAAACCAGCTTCCAGTGGAGAAGAAATATTTTTCACGTATTTGTCTAACCCCATGGTTACTTTGCCAGAGTGATCACTACTGCCTGCAGAAGCTTCAGTCCTTCCAAAATGTTCTATCACCCTCTGTCCTTTTCCACCTGACAGTCCAGTGTCTGACACATTAATTGTAATCTCTTTCCCACTACCATCTAATTCACTTGTTGTTTTGAAAGATCCTGTGCTACAGTGCTTCACAGAGGAGCCAATGATATGGGGCCCGCTAAGAGATATGTCCCCCATTTTTATACCTCCGTGTTCACCACTAACAAGGCTTCTATGTGGTAATCTGATTTGAGTGGGATCCCCTTCCGACTGCTCATGCTGCAAGACCTGAATTTTGAACTCAGGGCTTGAGTGATCAATCTGCTGACTAGTCCCCCCGGGCACATCCACAGTGTAGGTAGTTATTCGACGAGTGACTGTAGTAATGGTGCAACCATCACTGCTTGCGCTGCTGTGACGTTCTGTGCGCACATCAACACCCTCAGCAAGATCCTCAGACTTTAGTCTAGGTTTAATTTTCTTAGTGTAGATTCTCTTATAGTCTTCGTCATCCCCACTCTACAGGAAATGGAAATTACAAATTAGTATGATATGCCATTTCTGTGTGAAATTTATATAAGAGACAAATATATATATTTTTTAATCTGTAAAAAATGTGTTTGTTACATACTGAAATGCTGATCATACTAAAATCTACACTTTATATGTTTGTTCTTATAAATGGGTACCAATGCTGAATGACAACACTTTAAAATTACTGATTCACATGTTCATAGCCTAATATAAAACAGACCAACACTGAGGCCACCTTACCAGGAAAATGTCTGAACTAGAGCCTCCTAACCCTCCACGTCCTTCCCATGACAATGTCCCCATTGGAGAACGGCAAGGTGACTTTTCTCCAGTCTTGTTTTGTAATTTTAGTCCAACCTTATGTCGGTTTAGAGTCTTTAGTAGTTCAGATGTTTCTTCTGAGCTCATGTTGTCAAAGTAAATGGTGGCCCCCACAATCTGGTCACCTGTGACAAAGAGCAGTACATGGTAAGTTCAAACTAAATGGTTCACAATAAAAAAAATTATATTTGGAGGAACTACAAGAGCATAATCCAACACCAAAAAGGGGAGTGACAAATGTTGTTCAGAGAATCAAAACATTCTAGAAACGTTAGAAAATTAGTTTTTCTAAATGTTTGCACATTACGTCACAACCTGCATGGTTATTTTGATTTCATACCTTCATATACTTTCCCAGTATGTGCAGCAGGGGACTCATCTTTCACCTCTTTGACAAAAATCTCTCCTTGACCTTTTTGTTCTATGGTGAGCCCATGCTTATCAGGGCCCATCCACTGTGGGAAAAGCACTTCCCTTGTGTCCTGCTCATCAGCCATCTTAAAAAAAAAAATAAAAAATTATATATATATATAAAACATTACAAAATAAAACACAGTAAAACATAGTAATTATATTATAACAATACCAAATATATGAGTATATGTTGACTATTATACGGTTTCAAGTTGAATGATTTCAAATGAGCATAAGCAATTTTTCTGCAAAGCAATTGGCTTATAAACTGTAAAAAAAAAAAAAGTGCTTAGTATCTCAGTACCTGAAAATATTTGCAGTGCATTGCATGAAGCTATTAACATCACATAGCTAAAACACATGTAACTATTCATTCTGTATACCTCTAAATGTGTTACTTCACCTGTCCCCTAGCGTGGACCGTGTCAGCCCTTCCAGCCCTTCTTTCCTTAATACAAAAAAAAAAAAGAAACCATGTTAATGTATTGAATTTAAATTAAGCTTTCACAGACAGGTTTAAGGTTATGTTCATGGTATGGCCGAAGACAAAAAAACAATGTTGATTTTTTTTAATAGTGGTAAATAAGTATCAAACTGTGACCACTAGATGGCAATACAGTCTCCAACAAAAAAAAGTGAAAGTAATAACAGATGATCTGTATCCCATTATTTCCTCCAGCATTGATACAAAGCACTAAACTGCATGGGGGAAAATGCTTTACAACAAGAGCAATAACTTGTCACTAAATGCATTAAGCTCAGTTTAATACACAGATTAAACATATCTAAATATCTAAAAATCTGATGTCCATAAAATGAAAATCAGACAGTAGCTTGTAGATCTGGGAGGTCTTTGCTTGATGAACATTGCTTCAGAGTTATTTAGCTGACATGTGGGCCTGCCATTCCAGCTTTCAACACAGAAAGTTCTTTGTTTCAGAGATATCACCCCCTCACAATCATCCACCCTGCAATTACACAGGACCTCTTGGATATGAAAACACCTACAAGCATATTTCACTAAACATTGGCAAATGAGGAACTAGTTTATTTTAATTATGAAAACATTTGACAGTGACAAAGAAAAAAAAAATCAACGTCTTGTTATACCAAAAGCTAAGCACAACTCAAGTAAAGTGCTGTGTAGTCAATTTGTCCTATGTCCTACTTTGCTGACAAGTATGATACAAGTAGTAGTATCATTATGTTGATACTACTGGACAGCAGTCAAAAAAAAATATTCAATTGTCACTACACAAAAATATTTGATTGCTCAATAACATGATTGATCAGTCAGAATAAAGTATCCCATAGTGCCATAGAGAGCACATACATGTATGTATGTATGTATGTATGTATGTATGTATGTATGTATGTGTATGTGTGCATGCGTTTTTTGTGTTCAAATGAGGACATAAATTTGAATAATGACAAAGGTATGACATAGGTATTACAAGGAGAAGGTGACTTTTCAGGACATTACCCCATGTCCCCACTTTTCAAAACGCTTATAAATCACACAGAATGGAGTGTATTGAAAATCTGAAGGGGTAGGTTTAGGGGTAGGGTTGGTGTAGGGCAATAGAATATACGGTCTGTACAGTATAAAAACCATTACGCCTATGGGATGTCCCCACTTTTCACAAAAACAAACCTGTGTGTGTGTGTGTGTGTGTGTGAGTAAGATGAAAAAGAATGCATACCACTGAAAAAAAAAAAATGAATGAATCCATCGCAACTTCTAATTAAAATATGTAGAAATGGAAAAAGCTTTGTCTCATGCGATCAAAAATTAGTGGGATGTATGAGTTATTCAAGTAATCCGAATGCTCTCTTGATTCAAAATAGTAAGTATACTCTCTTCTGAAATAAGCCTGATCCTGACCTTAGTGGAATTCTGAAGGAATGTAAATACTCAAAATAAAATTCATTCATGAAGATTATAAAAGTTAATTATAAAACATTTGAAGTTATGTAAATTGAAATCTTGTATTTATTATTTCAGCAGCCATCAATGAACTGCAATATATATATATATATATATATATATATATATATATATATACACACACA